AAGGGCATGAGTTTGACGAAGTCATGTTGACACTTAAGTAAGGGATGTTCCCTCCTGCTAAATGTTGTGTCCAAAAAACAAAAACTAGAAATCGTTTTGGATCTGACCCAACATTATAAAAGAATTTAGTTTAGAATAAGTTGCTGCCGGGCCCAAGACAAGTTGTGGATTCAGCTCAAAAGAACGGTTTTACAGTGGTTGGACTTGGACACTTGAATTGGATCGTTTGACAGATTGGGTTTCGGCCCGTTAGAAACAAAGTGGTGAGGAAAAAGGGGACAATAAAAAGATGCGGTGAGCGTGGATCGAACACGCGACCTTCAGATCTTCAGTCTGACGCTCTCCCAACTGAGCTATCCCCGCATCACACTATTAACAGTGAACCACTTTGATGATCATTGCTGTGTGCTGCATTAAATTATTTTTTAACACTTCAAACAGGATTTTCCTTGTCTCCACCCAAGTTCCTGGTCTTGGAATTTGAAGAAAAAAGGAAACCTAGAAACTAACGTAAAAAATCAGAAAAATCATTTGGACTAACACAATCAATTTCTTAAATAAAAAGTTCTTGCAATTGACCATTCTCATTCTATTAAAAGTATAAGATTCCAATCTCACTTTATGTCAAATTTTGTTTATTAAATCTCAATTTCAAGGGTAATTGCATGAGAATCAACCTCATCCAAAGTCTTATCCTTGTAATCATCACAAAAGTAGTGGAGTTGCCCCTTTTAGACCTCTCTCATTTGGAAGTTTATGTAGTTCGGTGTGCTATATGACTGTAAGATACTTTTTGAATATAGAAATTAGTTGTCAAATGATTTTATTAATTGGTGGCTGCCGAAATTTTCAAAATTTCCTTTTGTTTGAAAGTAAAGGTCATTTGTTTGATCTAGTTTTTTTTTTTATATTTATTTATTTATATTAAATAATATATCATATAATAAAATATAATTTTTATTTTTTAATAACTCTTAATTTATTTTGAAATTTAAAATTGAGATATTTGATTTTAAATTTTAAATTCTTTATCCCTTGACTATCATGGCATGGTTAAGATTTTTTAATAAAAGAAATTTTGCATT